CAGCCTAGCCAACATGATGAAACCCCGTCTCTACTAAAAATAAAAAAATTAGCTGGGCATGGTGGCGCATGCCTGTAATCCCAGCTGCTCGGGAGGCTGAGGCACAATTGCTTGAACCGGGACCCAGGAGGCGGAGGTAGCAGTAAGCGAGATCTTGTCACTGCACTTCAGGCTGGACTACAGAGTGAGAGTGTGTCTCAATGATAAAAAAAAAAAAAAAAAGACTATGCGCTAGAAATAAAATGCCCTGAAATTAACAGTTGTTATATCCCTGGGGTTATATGAAAGTGAGAATATATTTTTTCCCTGTTCTTTGAATGTTTCTGTATTCTATAATAAACCTGCATTAATTGTATAATCTGAACAAAACCAACTTACATGAAGCAAAAAGCTGAGTCTGGCTGGTACAGGATGGAGTAGGGTGACATGTGGGAGGGAAGAGACAAAAATGGGTATGGGAGATAAAGTTTGAACTTGACCTGCTGATCAAGAAGGGTCTTGAGAAAGGACTTACAACCTATTAGGTGTTCCCTAAGAAGTTGTCCAAGCTGGGCCAAGTTTCCCTGGTTGGGCCAGAACCCAAGGATGCCTCACTGATGCAGGTACCTTCACTTCCAGATGCCAGGGGATTCAGGGTTGGTCAGTGCCAGCCAAGCCTTGGCAAGGGATGAAAAAGACTTCCTGGGTGCTCTTAAGGTAAAAGTGAGGCCTCTCCCTGCCTTACTTCCCACAGCCTTTTCACAGAGTATATTCACATTTGCCTTCAATTAGTTACCTGGGTACATCATTCCTATTCCAGATTTGCTGCTTCTTAGGGGCTAGGTAAGCTGGGCACCCCTGGGGACTTACAAAATGGGAGACACCACATCCAGCCTGTGCTGGGAGAGCAAAGAAGTTAACTGGATGAATTTCAGCGCCAGTCAAACGCGAGTTTTCTTTTTTTTTTTTTTAGATAGTCTCGTTCTGTCACCGAGACTGGAGTACAGTGGCGCAATCTCAGCTCACTACAACCTCCACCTCCCAGGTTCAAGCAATTCTCCTGCCTCAGCCTTCCAAGAGTAGCTGGGATTACAGGTGTCCACCACCACGCCTGGCTAATTTTTGTATTTTTAGTAAAGACAGGCTTTCTCCATGTTGGCCAGGCTGGTCTGGAACTCCTGACCTCAGGTGATCTGCCCATCTCAGCCTCCCAAAGTGCTGGGATTACAGGCGTGAGCCACTGCACTTGGCCCAAACTTGAGTTCTAATCCCAGCTCCACTCATTAAAGCTGTGCCCTTAGGCATGTCTTACCACCTCCCTAAACCTCAGTTTTCCAATCTGCAAAATGGAAATACAATCCATCTCAAGGGATTTTGTGAAGATAAACTGAGATACTACTTATCTGGCACTTAATACCCTTATCTGACACAGTATTCAATAAATGGCATTTAGTATCAAATCCATGTTTCCTAAACGGAGCTCAGTATCTAATTAGAAGCACAGGAATAGGGATTTCACTGGACCTCTGTGAAAGTCCTAGCTCTGCTATTTATCAAATGTATGACCTTGGCCAAGTTACTTAAGTTTCCTAAATCCTTTTTTCTCATTTATAAAACAGCAACATTCTTATTTATCTCCCAGAAGGGTGATGCAAGTATCAAAAGTGATAAACAAGGTCAAAGTGGGCGGATCACCTGAGGTCAAGAATTTGAGACCAGCCTGGCCAACATGGCAAAATCCCGTCTCTATTAAAAATACAAAAATAGGCCAGGCGCGGTGGTTCACGCCTGTAATCCCA